CCGGGAGGTCTTAGGTTCGAGTCCTGGTTGTGACAGGATGTTTGACCCTACCTACTTGTAGATACCTAGGGCGAGGGAGAGACTGCTTTGATCGGTAGTTTTCCTTTGTTTCTCAGATTAAAACCAGGCGAATGCCAAAGCAGTACCTACCCTAACAAATGACTTCGCAAGAAGAGGAAGTTATGTAATCGTGGACCGGTAAACGGCAAACAAAAATTTTCGCCTTAAAAACTTTTATTGCTGGGATAAGGAAAAGAAAAAGTAGATAAATCCTGTTGCTATATAACATAACTTACTTCCTCTAATAGGTGGTGTGTCCAGAATCCATGTTTTGTGTGTCCTTGATACCGAAAAAGCGATTGACGGCCAAACGTCTTTAAGTCTGTCCGTCTATGGTCAACTCTACCGCCTAAACCTTTTGGCCGATTTTCTCTAAAATTGATATTCCCCGATCGATCAGAACAAACTCCAATTTCAACCCTTTGCTTTGATTTTTCAAGCAACTTTACACAGGGCATCAAAAACATATTCAACATTTTCTCAACATTTTTTGATTAAATTTTGTCCTCGGAGAGCGTAAATGATTGAGAGAATGGTGCAGGTCGCATGTTTGTTGAAATTCAAGATTTAAAAAAAAAATGCAAATGTGCAATTAATTTGGGCGCCTTCCTACAACTATAATATTGAAAATAGATACTTTTTCCTTACTAAAATATGTTCCTTAAAGATATTTTCAAATAAGTTCATGTTCAATTTTTCGAAAATATGAGTAGTTTCCATGTAATTGTACCAAATATATACCATTATTTTTTTTTTCCAAAATTGCTCCAAATTATTTCTTTACAATTTCTCCTCTTATATAATAAGGAACAGTAAAACGTATGGAGCTAGTTCTATTTTCGGCGAATTCTTTGCTTTTTTCGAAATTTGCAAGAAGTTTACATTTAAAAACTACAAAATTGAAGATAATTGTTTTTTTTGTCTCAGACAAAGTCTGTTGTAACAAATCAGCTCCTTAAAATTGATTATGCACAATTCTTTGAAAAACGGGTAGCTTTCGCGTCATTTGCGTTTCAAATTTTTTTTAAATATTTGAAAAAATATCGCTGAAAAGTTTTTCTTTAATTTTTTCCTGCGGATAAAATAAGAAACACTTAAAGGAATGGCGTGGGTATTATTTTCATTGAACTTTTTGAATTGTTGAAAATTGCAAATTTAGAAATAATGCAAGAAAGTATGTGCTGTTGGAGCACCACTAGTTTACATTATGTAATACAAATGTAAACGAATGTATAATTTTGAAATAAATATTTTTTTGATGGTCAGTGTCAACGCAATTGTGCAAATATAGAAGCGGTTATGCAGCAGAAAACATTTTACTTCAAACTTAAATTTATGTATCAATTTTAATTGTTTAATGACATTTGGCAATGTGTTGCGAAGTAACTTACAGGTATTATATATGGATTTTTTGTAATGAGCTGTTCATACTGATACCTGATGAATGTGATTTCTCCGATGTTTGCTGTAATTATAAATATTACATGAATTGCATGAAAATATGTTCATACTGTTAAGTACATCAATTTTGACAAAATACAGATTCGTAAGTAAATAGGTAAAGCAAAAGGTACGATTCCAAGCTTAATGAAGAGTGAAAAGTGGATCAGGTGGATGTGATTTGCTTATTATTCAATTTTTTTTCACGTACTATCTAAAAATTTGGGTTCTATACGAAGAGCATCGCCAAAATATTATGTCATATCCCAGGCGAAAATGTTGTATATTGTACCTACAAAGAGCTTCACGAAGTCTGACAATTTTAAATAATTCTGAATGTGTAACTTAATGAGCTTAATTTAGTGTTTAATTCAGTTATACGGGCATTCGATTTTAGGTTTCATTGAATTAAAACCGAGAAATTTGGTTACCTTTATATCAGACAATTGCGTATTTTTCATTTTCTTTCATTATCTTTCAGATTGCTGGTCTGAAAAACCTAAATTCATTGAAAGTGTTTTTCTATCAATAACTAATAATTTGTTATTATAAAACCAATTAAATACTTCGTAAAAAGTCGTACTATTTGTTTATTTTTTTGCAAAGAACACTCTTGTCATCAGCAGGAAGAACCATTCTTCCATTTTTAATGCACGGCATACCCATTAAAAAGATATCGAAATAAAGACAAAATATAAAGATAACGATAAAGAGATTCTTAAGAAGACTTTCCTTTAAGGCCCTACACACATACCAATTCGCCAGGTCGACCGGCCAGTCAATCCGCCAAATTGCACCGTTTTCCAACAGAAATTTTTGTCGGGCAGTTCGTTGGTCCTGACCACACGACGGCCGATTTTCCCACCATACTGCCAGACAAATTATGTAGTGTGTAAAGTGTAGGGTCAACTTACCGTGATTCCAAACCTCAAAACGCTGGTTCAGATGTGAAACAGTTGTTTAATTAGAACATTCTTTGGTACTTGGAGGTTTTGGAGGTCGGTGATTTCGAATATGAATTCGGAACCTTCAAGAAATAAAATTACGCATAAAATTTGGCGGAAAAGTAAATAAAGCATCAAATTCAAATTTCCTTTTAAAATCGGTAACGTAAGCGAATTTTGGCAATAATTATCAGAATGAAAGCAACATAAATAAAAGCAATTATTTTTATTTATAAATTAAAGAAATTGCATACAAAATCGTGTGAAAACAATTATTAAACGGCTTAAAAACTCCTTTATTCAAACACGAGCCTGCAATGCAGTTACAGCAATATGCAGCAACTTATGTGATTTTGAAAGGTAATAAATAGTATATTCAAGAAAATTGCAAATTTGACCATAAAATTACTACGTAGACCTAATGTATCTTATGTTAGTTTGTTGTTTGTTAATTTGTTTGTTTGTTTGTTTGTTTGTTTGGTTTATTTTTTATTTTTTAGAATTTCTTATTCATTTTTGCACTTTAGTAATTAACATAATGTTCAATATTCACTTGGACTAAACCTTTTATTTTAACTCGTGTTATATTTTACAAAAACCTTGTCAAAAATGTTTATAACCTGATGGTATTTTTTGCTGCGGTAATAGAACACATGCACATTGTTAGCTTTCGAACTGGGCTCTGAAGATGAATACAAACGATGTGTTCCTCACCTGCATTTAACTCTTTTTTTGACTGTATAGGTAAACCATTGTGAACACAAAATATCTAAATATGATTTTTATTTCATTTTGGCCAATTTATGAGTTTGATATCACTATACTCACAATGTATTTGTCGCATAGATGTTGCTTTCTCAAAATTACGAACACTACTGAAAAATCGGGTTGTTGGCCGGACAGTGTGTAGCAAAAAGTCCAATTTCGTTGTCCCGACGGTCGGTCCCACAAATTGGCCCGTGTGTAGAGGCTTTTATTTGTTAAGTACTAAGAAATACACAATTATTCGAAGAACGGAGGATTATACTGCTCTCTACCAAACATTTGTGGCATTAGTAATCATCAATAGCTTACAAGAAGTTTCATTACTCGCCACTAGAGTTCTCTTCCTTAGGCTGTAGGCACGTTTCGTGCCTTGTAGGGAGATCAGTGAGGGTGAGCGACAGGCAGTTCACAGAAGACAGGAGGCAGTTACTTTCATAGAAAATCAATATGGGTTTTCTGACGTTACGTTCTAACTACAGGTATACTCGTATAGCTCCGCTGAAGAATTTTTGGCATCGATTTGATGAGAACAGGGCCTGAACCAGTTTAAAGCCTCGGTAAAATTGATTGTGGAATTCCTAAACAATGTCCGGGGCTCCAACGATTCAACCAGGAAAACTATCTGCTCACGTTGAATTAAGTAATACGTAGAACATAGTCATAAAAGAACATGAATGTATGTCAAGGCCAGGAGGTATCAGATGCGTTATTGTTTAAGTATTTCTTATTTGTGAAAGAAAGAATAAAGGTTCTCTAACAAACCATTCATGCGACATTATTATAATTAACATACTTAACGTAATTTATTAACAATACTATTAAAAAGGAAATATTGCATATTTGTTTTTAAAAAGTGGAATACTTTTTTTCGGCTGAAAGTTTGGAAATTAAAATCGCCCTAACACCACTATAAAAACGCGTTAAGAGTTTCTGTTGAAAGTTCGCCGTTTTCCGGCCCTCGGTTACATTATAACCACTTCTTACGAAGTAAGTACGAGAAAGCGAAAATTATAATTAAATTTTCAAATTAAAAATAATAATTTTAATATTCATTTTGATTACATATGTTCACTATTTCAATATAGTAGGGCTGCATAGTTCAGCGATGCTTCGGGTCCCTTAAAATATTAATGAAGCCCCGAAAGTCACCTGCATTAAAAAAAAGCAAGCACTAACTTTCGGGAGATCAGTAATATAGTACGATACAGAAACAGAGATGTATTGACCGTATCCATAGTTAGGACACGGTAAGGTGAACCTTCCACCACAGATGACGTCAATTGAAATTTCAAATTTTATAATTTGATGTGTTAATCCAAATTATGTTTGTAATAACAATAAATCCATAAGTAATATTAAAGCATGATTTATTTCGTAAAAATAATTACCGCGTTAAAAGGGCAATTCAATTGCAATAAATTTAAATTATGTGTTACAAGTACCATTAAATTCTGTTAGTCATAACCATTTTTCGGACCACCCTATTACGATAATTAGGAAATAATTTTAACAGAAAACAAACATATTTTCGTTTTTAATAAAACTAGACTACCCAATAAAATATATTTCAATGTTCAAGTGGAGAGGTGCATTACACTAACTCCAGCTATGGCAATATACTGTAGCAAGTCACTCCGAAATTGTTTCTGCGCCACTCGCAGTTTCGAAGAACACTAGATTCCCGCTCACACACCTTCCAAGCAAAGAGATTACATATCTATTCCAACGACGTGAAGACTTAATTTCCACCGGTTGCACGCAGCCCTGCTTCTTCTTATGCATTCTTATTAGGTTCATGATGCAAAGGTGACTTTACATCATGATTACGTCCCTGCATTTTCCAGCAACCTTGGACACCACCGTATTGAGCGATATCGACGAGGCGGACTGGTCGATTTCCAAGGGGATCCCCCTCATTTTGCGGACAGTGGGTTGTCGCTCCTAGTCACCCGACTCCCACTTTCTGCCAGCTCAGGCAGTGTTCTGTTGGGATCTAGTGAGGTGGTGTAGTGGTCCGGGGTTCGTTGTATTCAGATTGCGTATAGTCTCTATAAACTGCGAAAATCGCTGTTGCTTCAGCATATACATCAGCAGCATCTGCTCGGGACGGTATTTGAGCTTCAATTGGAGAATTTTTAGAATGGTGTAAGGACACTAAGGTAAGCGTTATTAAGAATATGATTGCATTACCGGGAGGTTCGAAATATGTTAACAAGAAAAAAAATGAATCGTTAATGATCAGTGCAAATTTGAAAGGAAATTTCATTAGGCTGTATCTCCACTTGATACCATTTCACATCAACTTTATAAATGTAAACGTGTGGAATATTGCAACTTACTAAATAGACAATTATGTTATACCATATGTTAGGTTATTAATATTGGGTGCACACGTGTTAATATGAAAAGAGGATTTTTTGTTGACAAGGAAGATGGTTTCAAATTAATGTAATTTTTGTATTATGTGAAACAAAATTGTTTTTACGTTTTCTGTAGTTAAAGACTACAAAGGTGCTATTTTCAATTTTTCTGCGCCACGCTGTGCAATTGGACATAGGGATCGTCTATACGTAAGAGAGGGGGAGAGGATTTGACTTCGATTTACGCCGCTTTATATTTATAAATAGGGGTAGGCGGTGATGATTTACCGTTACGTAACGCTGATAATTTTTGTTTTTTACAATTTTTTTACGTTTTTTTAAATAATTCCTTATTTACTTTTATTTTATAACAAATTTTTAAGAAATTAAGTTAAAAATATAAATACATTAAAATCTTATGTGACAGTTAATAAGTAAACAGTACAAATAAAGTAAAAATGTTTTCTCATCAATGATATATTGATTTAATCTCAGATTACGAAAAAAATATTCAAAACTGGTCCATGTTCTAGAATCCAATTAAATTGGGATAGTTGACTCTAGCCCATGCATCCATGACGGCGTGTCAATAGCTTGTCAGAAATGTTCTTACCTATGCGTCCGTCCATCACTCAAAAAGTGTCCCCTATCTTATTGTTAGGTGCAGTCCACATTACCAACTAATTGTTTTAATTACAAATGCTCATACATAACACAAATAAAGTTAACACAAATTGTTTTACTGCTATAAAATTAATTTTTACTTATTGTAAATAGTGAGTGTCGTCGCAAGCGTAACGTACACTCTTTCTTGATACTCCACTGCGGGGAGAGGCGGGTTCTCTCTACGTCACGGCAGTGCAGTACTGTCAACTTCAACAGAAAACTAAGCGTAATAACGCAACTTGGACTAGATAGAAATGACAAACAACGCAAGAGTTTTAAAAATTCTGAGGAAATAATTAATAGGTTTAGAAATAATTTGGTAACGAAGAAACATGGAAAGCACAGATCGATGGAAAGAGAGTGAAAGGAAGTCGCTTTAGAAAGGAAGGTTGGCAGAACTGCAAACAGCCGTGACTTTCAGCGTGGAGCAATGTTTTGTGCCGCGCTGAGCGAGGAAAAGGAAGTTGGAGGATCAAGAAAACGTATGCGCGTAGTAATGATTTGGGGGTTGCTTGAGGGGGGCAGGGTATTCAAAATACTCTAAACATGCGTAACGTAATATTTGGACGCCCCTATAACTACCTTGCGTCACCGCTCCTTCGTCCTCCCATATCGCGACGTCCGAGGACTTTTTAGGCACCACTAAACGTTTTGCACGTTGAATTTGCATTCTTAATATTTGATCGCCACCTTAAAACATTTCCTTCTGTATCACCTAATTTTCTTTCTCTCCCGCGCTTGTTCTTGGCTACTTGATTTTTTAACAGTTCAATCACAATATTTAAGAGAATATAATTGAAATTCGCATCGTTTAATTCGAATGAGTTGTAAACTGCAAACTAATACATTCTGTTTCTCCGTTTCGCGGATAACGTAGGAGATAATATCCAATGCAAATATCCAAGTTTGGGAAGTTTTACTAAGTAAAAGTTTTTTATCGTCAGCTTCTGTAGCGTGCGAACTGCTATCAATGTGATTTTTTTTTTTTTTTCATTTACATCTCTTTTAAAATGCAGATTCGCATTCGCCAGATATCGAAAACACAGGCACTGCCGGCCCCGTCGATCAGCCCGTAACAAAATCTTGGCTACCGCTTTTACTATTCCGTATACGTACGTAAGTATTGTAGGGGAAGTTAAGTAATGCTGCTCAAAATCGATTTTGAGATTATAACGGAAATAAACTTTTTGTTGTCCCCCTATAATGAATTTTTTTCTCCCTCCCTTCAAAACGTCCGTCCGTCCGTTCGTCTGCCTGTAAGTCTGTGAACACCATTAGCGCCTAAACGTACGTATGTTTAGAAAATGGATATTCCCCGGTCGATCTGGCTCCACTGGAGACGTCGCGATTTTAAAAATTTTCTTAAAAATTTGGGGAAACTCCCCAAACATTTGAAAATTTCCTCAAAAACGGCTCCCGATTTTTTCTTTATATTTCTTGTAAGAATAGAGTAAAATACACTTATAAAGGTGGTATAGCTCTGATTTTCACAGTTAACTCTGAATTCTCGAAAATTTTGAAAATTTTCGGGCCTCTTCCTACAACTACAAAACTGAAGATAGAGATTTTTCTTTCAAATAAAATTTTTTCGCCATAGTGAGTTCTTTGACTAAGGTCAGGTTCATTGTTTTGAAAATGTGAGTAGTTTGCGAGCAATATGTGCAATTTTAAAAAAATTAGAAAAACAAGATTTTCTCAAAAACGGTTGAAATTTTTACTTCAAATGTTTGGCAGGGATAGTGATAAACGCACATAGAATTAATGCAAATAAGTTTTGTTCTCAATAGTGAGTTCTTTCATTAAGAACATTAATATTTTTTAAAAAAATAGTAGTCTTCGTGCAATATTGCATGCAATATGTGCATTTTCTTTAAAAAAATTCAAAACCAAGTTTTCTCAAAAAGACTTCAAAGTTTTTATTTAAACTTTTGGTTGGAATTGTGCTAAATGCATTCTATAAGATGACATAACCGTCTGTTGCTCTATTCTTTTGCTTTTTTTAATATTACAGAAATTATTTTTGTAATTGTCTCTTTCATCGTTAGTATTTATATTGGCGACAATTGGTTCACCATATTGTATTTATACGAGTACACGTGCTTTAATAATGTCATATAAAGTTTATCAAAAACTTAACCATTTTCTGTAAAAACTAGCTCAAATTTCCGCATTCTCAGAATCGCTCAAACGCCATTTTCTCAAAAACGGATTCAAAGTTTTTCTTCAAACTTATCGAACGGACAGTGCTAATTGCGCTCTTTAATAGGTCGTAAAGTTCATTTCTTGTTTGTTTTGCATAAATTACACGAATGTAAGTTTTTTTTTAAAATCTCAATGCCGTTAATATTCACATTTCCAGCAATTGGTAAACTGTTCTATTTGTAAGTTGAAGTGCTTAAAATGACTTCCAATGAAGCTTTTCGAAAACTTAAAAATTGTCTGTGAAAAAGAGCTTCAAGTTTCGAATTTACAGTAGCGCTTAAGCGCTATTTTCGTACAAAGTCTCCAAATTTTTCAAAGCAAATTGCCATGTGGACGAGGTTTTACTGTTCTTTAATATTCTTAAAATAATATTTCCGTCCTATTATTGGAAAACCGAACATTTAAGAATTTTTTTAAAAACAATGTACCTTGGGCAAGAGTATGTGGCATGTTGGTATAGACAGCCGAGACCAAAGGAAATAGAAAACTAATACGGAAAAGTCTGTGTCATTTGTAGCACCACTAGTTATTAATTTTTACGTGGCATTTCATTTCATACAATGCCATTCATTTGAAATTCTCTCTTTACCAGATCAATAAAAAATAAGCTTGTTGCAAGCATAAATTTCAACATTTCTGTCAGTGAACATCACTATGTAATGTGTGTTAGTTAACTAAACTATACATTCTATTTTTTCCAAAATGGTTATTCCCCTGTCGATCTGGCTCCACTCAAGGCGCCGCGATTTTGAAAAACTTCCTTTAAAAGTTGGGGTACTTTACATAAAAACCCTGAGACATTGTCAAAATTTTCTCAAAATCGACTCCAAATTTGTTCTTTAAATTTCTTGTAAGAATATAGTAAAATATACTATAATGATCGCATATGTCCGATTTTTATTTGCGTCATTCTGCAGTTTCAAAAATTGCAAAAGTTTGAAGGTTTTTTCGCGTCTTTCTACAACTACAAAAAAGAAGGTAGATACACAAGAAAGTAAAAATCAGCTCTTTACAAAAGGCCATGTACAATTGTTTTGAAAAAAACTGGTTTTTGTGTGATTTGTGCTTATTATTTATGTACTTATTATAGTAATATTTTCTCAAAATCCGCCACAACTGTTTTCTTTAATTTTTTCACGAATATTCTTAACAGAATGGACGTGTAAAAGAATCGGACCGTCTCATTTTCGTTGAGCTCTCTGAACTTTCGAAAATTGCAAATTTAAGAAATTTAACACCACTACTGTGAATTTTATTTGTAATTCAGGGTTGTAACGTAGAATCTACCAGGGGGTATTACTGATCCCTAACCGTATAAAAATCGAATTACTTGCAACCAAGAAAACTAAAAACAAATTGATAATTTATGACTCATGTGAACCTCGACATAAATAGCACATCTAAAAGACGTTTACGTGAATACGTTTTAGTGCTGCTAAACATTATTTGCGCCAGGTGACACTAATACCCCGTACAACGTATAACGAATCCGTGTTTGTTAACAGTAGATATTATTAAAGGGAAAAAAACTTTAACTTCAATATTGTAGTTATAGGAAGACCCAAAAATTTAAACATTCTTAAGTTCGGAAAATTCAAGGAAAATGAGACCTGTACCATTTCTTTAAGCGTCCTTTACGCCATCTAAGAAAAAAGTTAATTCAAACAATTTGGAGCAATTTTTGAGAAAGATTTGCAAATGTTGAGCCTTTCAATGAAGAAAAACGAAACAAAGTCACTACATCCATTTCAAATTAGCAGGATCTCGAATACGTTTAGAACGATCACTATCAATTTTGATGAAAATATTCTAAGCGTTTTATGCGCTAGCATTGTGCAGAGAACTTAAGGAAACAGGCACAGATCGCAAAATCGCCGATTTTGGCGTAGAATCTTTTCGTAATACTATAGTAATAGGTAATTTGGTAACTTTCACTTCTAACGTATGCGACAGCCACACTCTTGTATCTCTGTCACCGAAAAGGTGGGAAACTTTTTGTTCACGTATGTAGTAAATTACTTCCTCTACCTCGTGTAGTCAGAATCCACATTTTGTGTGTCCTTGCTAGAGTCGTTGCTAGTTATGAGCGTCCCTGGCAAGATTTGAATTTTGCGCCCGGAAGACATTTTCTAGAAAGAGGAACAACACAATAACTTTGAAAATATAATTTATACTTAACTTATGTATACATTTAAGCATAAAATTAGTTCTACCTATTACATAGAAAGAGAAACAATACAATATTATTTCATTTAGGCATTACATTATCTCTTTAAAGTTTATTTTTCCTTTTTTTTAAAGGCCAATTTGTCAATATTATGGTCTACATTAATATTTTTTGAAATGTCATACTCAATTAACAGTTTAGCAAGATTACTCAAGGGTTCTTGACCAATCTGCGATCGTAAATATTTTTTTACAAATTTACTTCATTTTGTTGAATGGTTTTCACAGCTGGCAGAAGTCGCAGATAGTGTTAATGCTAGACTAAGAACAATGCTTATAATGGGATAACTGGTTACTAAACCATATTCTTCATATCAATTAAGAAGCGCAAGGTATTCTACATTTTTAAATCAGGCAATAATGGTTTTATTTGGTGTTTGCAGCTTTCAATCTCTAAACATGTTTCTAAACAATCTCTAAACAAATCTCGTTTGCATGTAAGTCATCTATGTATTTTAGTTACTAATTATTTCATTTATTAATTGTTTCTTTTGAATCTGTAGAAAAATCATCGATTTATCGAGAGAAACAAAAACAACTTTAAAAGCCGTAGAAACAGTCGTCAATTTGTGACGAAAATTTAAATGACAGTCACGAATTGTTTTTCTCAAATCTTTTATTTAGATTCGGTACAGATTTTGTTTGTTAACTTAAGGCCGCCGTTCCTAAGCTGTGCGGGCGCCTATTTTAATCAATTGCAAGATTTTTTTATGCTAGTTGGCATAATGTTTAAATTTTGAATTTGAATTGTTGCGGTATGGATTGTCAAAGGATGTAACAAGATTCTTTATATCATTGATTGGTCCATGTATTGTAATATTTGATTTTGTGTGTCTGTGCCTCAGCGGTCCGCAGGCTGTGGGTCTGCAAAGTTCACCCCGCCTCCCGAGGGTTGCTGCCTGGCAGCCAGCCATCTGGCTAGCCCCTGGCTACGACGCTGATCCTTGCTACCGAAAACTTGACCATAGAGGCAAAATTACTGTATCCGTGTTCAACGCTAGCGCCTAAACCGTTCTGCCGATTGCTTCCAAAATTGATATTCTCCCATCGACGTGGCCCCTTTATATTGAAACCATTGTTTTCATTTTGGGGGTACTTTACATGAAGCCTCCTAGACGTTTTCAAACTTTTTTCAAAATTGGCTCAATTTTTTTTAATCCAATTTTGTCCTCTGATAGCGTAAAGGACGCTTAGAAAAATGGCAACAGTTTCGTTTAAATAACTGAATTTTGAAAAGTACGAAAGTTCAAATTTTTCCGCGTCACCTTGTTACCACGGTATCGAAAAAGTGCATAAATCGTGTTCGAACATGCGGTAAATTATTTCCTCCAACATGTGTAGACAGAATCGATGTTTTATGAATCCTTGATACCGGGTAATCGATTGACGTCAAAATGTCTGTCTTGTCCGTCTATGGTCAACGCCAGCGTCTAAACCGTTCAGATAATTTTCTCCAAAACTGTTATTCCCCGAACAATTTAAAGGAACTGGTTCTGCATGTTTGAAATTGATATTTTCGATTTTTAGTTGTACTTTACATGAAGCTTCAACAGCATTTTCAAAATTTTCACAAAAACGGCTTCAATTTTTTTCATTACATTTTGTCCTCGGATAGCATAAAGAACTGTTCAAAATTTTTGTGAGGCTCATTTTGGTTGAAATCTCTGCTCTTTTGCAAACGTCCAACATTTTTCCGTCGTTTTTCTACAACTACAATATTGAAGGTAAAGATTTTCAATAATGAAACCCGTTTCTAAAGGAAATCTTTAAAGAAGGTCGTGTCAAGTTTTCGAAATATGAGTAGTTTTCTCGTAATTTTGCGTGAAATGTAGACAGTTGTGAAACAATTATTTTCTCAAAAACTGCTCCAAATTCTTTATTTTTAATTTGCTGCTCATATGTAACAAGGAAATATTAAAAGGAAATCCATTTACGGCAAACTCCCTGTATTTTCGAAAATTGTAAAAAATTAACATAGCAAAATATGTTTATATTTTTGAACTTAATTAAAAATTCTTTTTAAAAATAGATCTTTAAAAAGGTCATATAAACTTTTTTGAAAAAATAAGTTGTTTTGGATTAATGTCTGCTAGAAGTTAAGGCAATCTATGCAAAACATTTTCTCAAATACGGCTCCAATTTTTTTTTCCTTAAATTTTTCCACCGCTAGAGTAATGGAACCTTTAAAAATGGCTGGTGTGATTTTCGTTAAACTCTCTGAAATTCAGAAAATATCAAAAGTTATAAATGCGAAAAAGTATGTGCTGGTGTAGTACTAGTTTACACTAAGAACCCTCTTTCGCTAAAATCTTCCCATTGTGAGAATGGGAAACCGGGATTCTGCATGTGAGCTTTTTCGCTAGGTTTTACTTTTTAGTATACGTATGGAGTAATAATCGTAGAACAGAGAGAGTTGTGTAATGCTGCTAAAATCTGGATTTCAAAGGAAATTCACTTTTGGGATTTCCCTGACATCGAAAACGCTTTCATTTTTCTTTCTTTCAAAACACCCGTTCGTCTGTGAGCAACACTACCGCATACACTATTTTTAGAAATTTAATAATCTCCGAAAACAAGAAATTAAATACTCTCCGGTCCACCTGGCCCGACTCGAAGGTCTGACATTTTGAAAAACAGTCTTTATATTTTTTTAGGGGTACTTTACATGAAGCGCCTTGGACGTTTTCAAATTTTCTAAAAAATGGTTCCAATTTTTTCTTTAAATTTCTTGTAAGAGTAGAGTGAAAAACATTTATGAAGATACCATCGGTCCAATTTTCACTGCTACTCTCAAATTTAGGAAAGAACAAAATTTTGATTTTTTCGGTGTCTTCCTACACCTACAATATTGAAGATAGTTATATGTTATTTAAATGAAATTTGTCCTCTATAACTAGCTCTTTCCTTAACGTCATGTAGAAACACATTAAAAATATCCAAAACAAGATTTTTTCGAAAACGGCTCCATTTTTTTCTTTTAAATTTATGTAAGATAGCGCTAACGCAATGTATAAGATGTCAAACATAATATTACTGCATTCCTTGGTATTTTCAGAAATTACATATAAGTATTTTTTTTATATCTAACTCACGCCGTTATTATTTTCATTACCGGTGATGTGTACTTTAAGACTTTCCCGAATCAGTGCTTCTTATGACATATTATTAATTTACTCGAAAACTCAAAACTTTTCTGTAAAAATTAGCTCAATATTCCGCATTTTTGGAAACGCCATTTTCTCGAAAACTGTTCATTTTTTTCTTTCTTTTTTCTCAAAAAGTACACGAAAGTAATATTTTTGAAATATCTCTTACACCTTTAATATTTACTATATTATCAGCGATTTGTATACATTTCTGCATTTATCAGTAGAAGTGCTTCAAATGATTTCCAATTATGTTTCTCCAAAACTCTAATCTTGTCTGTGAAAAAGAGTATTAAATTTCGGATTTATAGAAACATTTAAACATTTTCTCAAAACCGGTTCCAAGTTTTTCGGAAAATTTCCGTATAGAACTAGGTTTTACTATTCTTAAAGTCAAATGTCAGTTTCATCACAAGAGAACCGAAAAATTGATTAAATCAAGAAAATGTGAAACAATATATTGTGGACGGCAATATGTGGGAGGAGAATGAGGCAAAACCGAAAAGGTTACCCAGGCCAAAGAAATGAGAAAACTACTAGAAAGTCTGTGCAATTCTGTAACATGACTATTAACAAGCATTATATGACATTGATATATTTCAGTACATTTGTGTAGTTATTTTAACTCTATTAGAGAATTAATAATATGCTGCTCTAGAAAGTGTTATAGCGAAATAGTGGGTGCCTGCCCAAACAAACGACCAATGTTCCAATTACAACACTGTTATGACATCCATGGTTTATTCTTGAATGTTTACAAACTGTTAGTAGAAGAAAGTTTGTAAACATTCAAGAATGATTACTAACAATCTTTGTTCGCAATTATATTCTGAAAGTAACTGTAAAATTAGTTTTCTCCGTGAAATGAATTTTCTTCCAAAACCTTTCAAATTGTTTTTCTGTTTCAGAGCAAGAAAATGGAAATGGATCCGAAGGAAATCACAGAAGGTACGGGTTTCCAACTAACCGTTCAGAATGAGATGACCGACCCTGCTTTGCTCCAACAGGAAGGCGCTCCTGTGAAAGCTGATGGATCTGACAAAACAGCGCTGCATCTGGCAATAAAAAACAATGATATTAATATGGTATCTGCACTACTGCAGAAAGGCTCTAAAAATACTAAGAACAAAGATTACCGAGCCGCTCTGCACTTGGCAGCCAAATCCGGAGCTACTAAAATCGCTTCGTTGTTGATTAGAAAAGGCGCTGAAGTCAACTCGGTGGACAAAGGTTACACGGCTCTCCATTGGGCCGCAGAGAAAAATCATAAAGACGTTGTTACTGTGTTGCTGCAAAATGGCGCTGACAAGAATCTTAAGACTTCGGAAGGCACAGCGCTGGATAGAGCTGCAGCAGGTGGCGCCACCGAAGTCGCCTCTTTCCTTCTTCAGGACACCGATCGTCCTTCAAGCGACGGCTGGTGGAGACTGGCACTGCGTAATGCACTTCACAGCGGGGCGACCGAGATAGTTTCTATGCTCATCAAGAAAGGCGCTGACGTTCGCACTACTTACAAAAATCGGTGGACTACCCTGCACGTTGCTGTAAGTGGCAATGCACCCAGCGCACGGTTGATTTCCTTGCTGCTGGAGAAAGGAGTAAATGTAAACGCAAAAACCAAATCCGACAGCACGGCACTACACTTGGCTGTAGAAGCTGGCGCCACCGATGTGATTACCTTCCTACTGCAGAATGGCGCTGATTTATTCGCAATGGACTCTCAAAATAGGATGGCACTGCATTTAGCCGCAGAGAATGGCGCAGTCGACGTTGTCTCTTCACTGCTGGAGAGTGGTGCCGACGTGAAGGCGAGGGGCGAAATGATGATGACAGCCTTGCACTACGCTTCCAAGAAAGGTTTCGTAAAAGTCGTCAACCTGTTGCTCAACAATGGTGCGAAGGTGCTGGTAAAAGACAGCAAACACCGAACACCGTTGCACTACGCGGCAGAGGCGCGAGCGGACGACGTAGCTACGCTGCTGTTACTGAACAAAGCAGACGTACATGCAAAAGATATACTCGGTTGCACGCCGTTGCATTTCGCAATCGATAAAGATGCTGCACGTGTCGTCACGCTGTTAATTTATTACGGTGCTGATGTCAATGTGCAATGCAATGGCAGTAACACACCTCTACAACTAGCGGCTAGAAATGGCAATCATCACATCGTATCTCTGTTGTTGCGAAAGGACACCAACGTCAATGCAGCGGGCGTTGGTGGTGAGACAGCATTGCACTTGGCCACTAGGAAGAGTGCTACAGATATCGTTTGCCTCTTGCTGCAAAATGGAGCTAACATTGATTCCAAGGATTCAAATGAAAAAACACCATTGCACGTCGGTGCTGAACAAGCATCTGTTGACACTGTCGCCCTTCTTTTGCAGAACAACGCTGATGTGAATGCGAAGGACGCATCGGGGCGCACAGCTTTGCACTTTGCCGTGGGAAAAGGTGCCGGTGATGTTACGTCAATGCTTCTGGCTAAAAACGCCGACGTTAACGCTAGAGACGGAAAGAAAAGGACAGCACTGCATTTAGCGACCGAGAACTGCAGCCGTAATATCGTTCTCATACTCCTGGAAAATAATGCAGACGTGAATGTTAAAGATGAAAACAGTAAGACGGCTCTCCACTTCAGTGTCGAGAAGAATAATGTTAACATCACATCGATGCTCTTGCAAAAGAATGCAGTCGTTGACGCCAAGGACGAAAAGAGTAGGACGGCTCTGCACTTAGCAGTGGGGAAGAACAACGTTAAAATCGTTTCTTTGCTACTGGAAAAGAATGCTGATATTGACGCCAAAGATGAACAGGGAAAGACGGCACTGCATTTAGCCACTGAGAAAAGGGCTACCGAAGTTGTGGCGCTGCTACTGGAGAAGGGCGCCGATGTTCTTGCGAAAGACAATAGAGAGAAAACGGCCCTACATTTAGCCTCTGAGAGCAATGCGCGAGAAATCGTCTCCCTGCTCTTGCAAAAGAACTTCAACCCTAACGCGAAGGACAAAAAAAGAAGGACGGCTTTGCATTACGCCGTTGCGACAGGCGCTACTAACATCGCCTTGACCCTCCTGGAAAATGACGCCGACATTGACGCGAAAGATGAGAAAAGAATGACGCCGTTGCACTTTGCCACAGAGAAGGGCGCCATTGACATTGTTAGAAAGCTCCTGGAAAAGAAGGCGGACGTCGACGCAAAAGATGAGAAGAAAAGAACTGCACTGCACATGGCTTCTGCTAGAGGAGCTGTCGACATCGTGTCTCTGCTGGTTGCTAACGATGCTGATATCAACGCTAGGGATGAAGAGGGAAAAACAGCTCTTCATTGCGCCAGACCTTCATCAGCGTCACGCTCTTGTATCGAAGTTCTTCTGGCAGCAGGTGCCCTGGTAGATGTTACAGATAATGATGGAATGACACCTCTACACCGAGCAGCGATGGGTAATGATCAAGAAGGTGTGCAAGCATTGTTGCGGGCTGGAGCTAGCGAGACTTCAGTGGACAACAAAGGGAAGACCCCCTCTGATGTTGCAAGATCACTTTCTCTCCGAAAACAACTGAATACATCAAGACTGGTAGAGTCTAGGAATAATTATTCACCATTTCGTAGGCACAATGAATTTCTTTTGCTCAGATCATATTTACTGATAGGGAGAACACTGCACATTGAAGAAATGCTTTTGTATGATTACAATGATAGAAATGTTATGCAGTAACAGAATGTAAACACTGTAAGGTGATTATTGAAACGTTGGAGGTCAAAATACTAGTTCGTTTATGAGACCCACTGGATTTATTTTACGCATTTGGATGTATATTTACTTTGTTCTCCATTTCATCTGTAACTATTCTTTGAAACAATATGTTAAAGTAAAAAATGTCCAGATTTATTGTGAATTACAAAGCCAGTCTTCAAGAACAAACAGAAAAAAATATTTTACAAAATGAAGTAATATATTGTTTACAATTGGGTTTAAAATTTTAAGATTATGTAAAATGATATGTCATTCAATTTAAGTAAAGTAATTATTCCGTAAAAGCCAGAAAATTTCACTAAAATCCTTGCTTCCTAATAACCACTTTTTTCGGAAATTAATATACCCTAATATATCCCAACTTCTATTTTTGTGCTTAAACAGTTTGTTAAACAATGATATAAATATTGAAAGGTAATTTTTAATTGTCTCACAAAGTTGTGTCCTTGTTTCAAGTGGAAGATAAGAAAATGTTAGTGACATTTAATATTTTCAATACTTTTACCTATAATCTTTGTATCTTGATATCAAATTATGGAAACTGTGAGCCATGTTTTTAAAAATCAGATTATGAAATTTTGACAAAATCATCCCAAAAACATTTAATCCTCTGTTGGATCGCAACCTTTGTAAATGATCTGCAGTTTTTAATCACATCAAAATTGTTGTATGGCCTATTGTGGATTTTATCATTACATCTTCATTTTTTTTCAATTCCTTTCTCTATAAATGTTTTTGCAATATTTTTCAGTGGAGGTCACAGCAAGTGGAATTGAAATCAATCCTAGAAATAAAATACCAAACTTAACAAGAGGGGGAAACTCAGATAGCCTCATCTAGAGTTGATTTTGTGAGAATCAGATAGACACATCTGGAGATAATTTTTTTTTATTTATGGATCTATTTTAGTTCACATTGAATGGTGAATGTGGCTGACACACATGTTTCCAATATGGCGACTGTCATTTATGTTTAATGCTTTACAAAAGGCCATGGCATTCACACATGAATGGCAGCAATGTAAATGTCTTTGGCGTAATACAGTGTGGCTCCCAGTGAACATAAAGAACACTTGGTTTGGTCTTACTTGCGAAGTTGAAAACTTTATTTCAACATTAAAATTATAAATGCAAATGTTCAGAGATTTTTTATTAAAAACTAGTGGACCCGGCATTACTTCGCTTTTGCAGTGTATTACTCATCACATGCTGCTGGTGACGTGATTGTTAGTCATGTTTTTCACTACGCTCTGCAAAATTATTAATATATGAAAGACTTTATATGTTTTGTTCTATGACCTGGTTTGGACATCGCTGTCAAGTATCCTATTGTTAAAACGTTCTCCCTCAAGTTTGGGCATGCATTCGCGCTGACACTGTCATGGAGAAATTTGATTTATTGTCCAAGATAACGTTCGAGTAATAATTCTAGCCAATATTTCACAATCCAGGATCAGAATATGAAGCGACGACGCGCTCAATATTAGAGGATGCGACAGGTTGCGTGGAGCTGTTCAGGGGCGCTTGAGTCAGCATAAACTCATAAAATCGTTATCTGAGCGCGTTTATAAGCAACACAATATGTATTATGCACATTCCTGTTGTACAATATCTATAATCTACGCGCAAGTGCAGGCAATAACTTGACCACGTTTTATCGCAATCGGATGAACGATACGGCAGTACATCAAGTACAAACACTGATTTTTTAATATATTAAAATATGAATTATAGAGAACAAGGTAAGTAAATTAATGATTGGTGAGAAAGATTAACTCCAGACATAGATGAAACTTCTTTTTGTTCAGTTATTACAGAAAGCATCAAATTTGCATGGTCCCTCTTCATGGAATCTTCATGACTTTTTCCCTTTTGGCATTTCACACCGCCGAGCAAATACTTTCTTCTCGTTTTAGTGGTTCTGTCCTCTCTTGTAGCTAAACTATAATTCTCAAGACCTTTCTCTAGGAACGTAATGCAGAAAAAGAATGCGTATTTCTGTCTCCAAGCCTTAGAAGTTCCACTATTAGGTACTTTGTCTGAATACGTTAATTTTGATTTCTTCAATGTTCCAATTTTTTGGAAGATTCTTACGTTCACATCTGCTGTTCCCAATGCTAATTATATTACAAGTTTTCTGTGTGCAGAGTTATTGCAGAGAATTCCATCTTATCTAAAAGATAAATTCCATGTATGCCGTAAGTGATGCAATGACCGCAAGTGGCTTCCTTGTAGCTCGTTTACTTTTCTTGCTCTTCTTTTTCTTGAAATTGACAACTTCCTGAGGGGAGGAAACAGGTTAGTCATTCGTATATGAATCACGTATCACAGTATTAAAAATATAAAAATGTCCCTAAAAACTACATCACTCATAGATAAATAGCACAAACAAATTCAAAGGAACACATGAGATAAAACAGTTCCAAATTGATCAAACGACCAAAATAAGCTTTTACCTTTGGCCCCGGCCCACTACAATGTTCAAGAAATACAACAAGCTAAAATAGCTTTAAGTGTTCGTAGAAAACAACAGAAAAATATATCTCATACTGGTGGACTATCTTCTTAGGTTTCATTTGTCAGTTTCAGTGCTTTTGAGTATTTTTCATGACATTTTAATGTTACAGTGAAAGTCGTATCATGTGTTCCAACAATATATTTATTTAATAAACATTCCTTCATTAAATTAAGACTTATTTCGTAGAAAACTGTGTTTTATGAAGTGAAGTTGAACTCATCCAATGGTAGAGTTTACTTGTAAAAAATATTTTCAAAGGACTACACAATTAAAAGGTGATATAATTTATTAAGTATTTTTACACTAAATTGAGTCCATTTTTTATTTGGGACTGCCAATTCATTTAACCATAACCTAAAAACAAAATATGGCATTTAGTCAATATAGTTTTATTTAAGAAGAGGCATTCGCCTCAAAGCTATGAACCTGCTGGAGGCATTGTTTTCACGCATTGCGAAAAGAAATAAAGGACTAAACAGTCTGGATATATTCACATCAGGCAAAGGACACTCGCCTAAAATGTGTATGATTTTAAGAACAAGTTTCATTTTATCACTCTTAAATTTCTGCATCGTAGGGGAACCAAAATTTTTAATAAACTCGACTTAAAAATTGATTATTTAATTTTTTTTAATTCAACTTTTTTAAATTAAAATTATGTAGATTAATGTCATGACAGTTCCCCGTTTTAAACGTTTTTATTGGGGGCCTACATCGATGGTATTATCATGTCCAATGCAGTCCAGATGTGTCAGAATAGCACTTACTAGCGCGCATCGGAATGGCCTCATTTGAGGTTCCGTTCGGCGTGATGATTTAAAACAGTTCTCAATTTTAGAAGGTCGTGAAATGTTCGAAGAAGAAAGGAACTCCTGAGAGCCACCGCGAAGGAGAATAGTTTTTTTCTTAAAAGTTTCAATAAGCTAATCTAGGCCGCGCGTGATAAAAAAGCCATCACATCAAAGGCTTACAGAGATGATGATTTAGTGGTGAGAGCGCCATTCGGGCCGAGATTAAATATTAGAAAGAAGTACCTCGGACCGTACTAAATCAATGAAGTCAAAGGTCATGATTAGTACGAAGTCATCTAAGGCGACCGTGAAGTTAAAGGCCCACGAATCACACCGACAGCCGCCGATTACACGAAACTGGTCGCCGATTACACGTCCTGTCGGAGACCGAAGGTTTTCGAGGATGGCAGTGTTCATGGAGTGGGCGATTTCAAATTTGGTGAGGTAGTTTGAGTTATATCCATGTTTATGTCCTATGGGCATGGATGAATGTGTTGTTCTAAGGTATGAGAATGAGGGCGCGAGCGCCGTGCGGCTGGCATGGCAGTCTGTTGGGAAAATCTAGAAGAGTAAAGTCGTGTTGTGTATGTATCTTCTCTTCTTTTATTTGTTCAACTTTTCTCTTTTTAGAACAAACAAGTAATTTCAAAACCGGCGTTCTCTTGAGAAACCCGATTCCACATGCATTTCCCCAATGTTCCACTTCCTTCACCAGCGGATGTATTTTATTCTTTGTTTAACGTGTAAGAAATAAAATCGTTTATAATCTCATGTTTAACATTTTTTGACCTACGTTTGTGATATTACTAGCAGATTAATGCTTTTGTGAACCAACATTTTCTTATTTGACGACTAAATATTACTTAATGCCACAAAATTGGTTGTTGCATTAAAAATATTTTTTTAATGATTAATACATGTGCAGATGACACGTTTTGCATGGTCTATAGAAAGTCTTTAAGTGACTCTCATGATTAAGTTGTAAAGTAACGTACTATTTCGGAATTGGATGACAAAAAGACGCCCATTTCATGATGCAGATTTATGATTCGTAAATTAGTATAATTAAAGATAGAAATTTTTCCTTCAAGTAAATTTCTTGTCCATAATTAGTTCGTTCATTAAGTAAATTTTTTAATCTTTCAGTAATTTTCGCGCAATAATGCATGCAATTTGTGCCATATTAAAAAACAAAAACCATTTTTCAGGGATAGTACTAAATGTACCCTATAAGATGACATAAACGTCAAATTTAATGCTTTTGACTTTTTTCTTACATTGTTAATATTTACATTAGGGGCGATTTGTTCACATTATTGTAATTATGATTACATGTGATTCAAATAATGAAACGTAAAGTTTCTCAAAAACTTAACAGTTTTCTGCGAAAATCCGCTCATAATTCTGCATTTTCAGAAACGCTCAAAAATGGCTACATTTTTTTTCAAACGTTTCCACCGGATAGTGCTAATTGCACGGTTTAATAAGACGTAAAGTTCATTTTGATGCGTTTTTTGTTTTTGTTTTTTAAATTACACAAATGATTTTTCTTAATATATCCCACGCCGTTAATATGTACATTTTCAACAATTCGTAAACACTAACAC